GCACATGCAGGGTACAAACAATATTTAAAATAACCCAAAGCTCATTGTCCTTCCTCTGCTGCTTGTTTCTAAGTAAATGAGGGAATTAAGCTTGTTCTGTGAGACAAGAGCAACTAATTAGTCTCTCATTAAGTCTTTGCACCAGTGGAATGATAGTAGTTTATGTTGGTATAGATAGTAAACAGTAGTTGACATCTCCTTCAGCTTGTGATGTTAACTTGTTACACTAGTGTTTACACTTGTTTACACTAGTGTACACTAGGACAGTACACATCAAGTTTTTGGAGCTGGATGGCTGACTTTAAACTCTGTTTTCAGACAGAATCCTGCAAAACATTGCATCTTCCAAGATTTGTTTTAACTTGGGTTATAAAGCTCTTCAGCAGTATCCATACTGAAACATTTCATACATCCCCAAAATAAGCAAGAAGGACGGAATTACACTAGTTTAAAGACCATCACTAGTGCAGTGTTCTGAATTTCTCCAGGCTGTCCTAGACAAGGGCTTGTCTGTTAGTAATTAAATTACTGCTTTTGACCTCCAGGGCCCTTAATCATCTGACTGGTGCAGCTAAATCATTTAAGGACTGTTTCTTGGAGTAAAAAACTAGCAGGAGATCATGGAGCACCACTCTGCTACTGTTGCATAAATGGTTCTGTGCYTGATTTTCTTCCCACTGCGTTTACTTTGCTCACTCCTGTTTTTTTCCTGGCCTTTATGCTGAAGGCTCATTGTGGTGAGCTGATTGTTACTTRGTGGTGCAGGTAAAAGTTTTGCTGTACTGGCTGTGCTCATGTAACTCAAACAAGCAGCTATACTGAACTTACCTTGTGCAGCTTTGCCCTGGTCTGGCTTCTGCCCACCCAAGCTAAGAGGCTGCCTTGGAAGTATTCACTGAGCAACTTRTGTGCAGGAATGGGAAGATTGTTCAGCTCAAGCCAGCTACTCCTGAAGCAACATCAGCAGCAASTAGAAGAGCATGTGATGCTGTTAAAAGCAGAGGTGCTCAACTCAAAAGTTTGCATGGAGCTTTCCTCGTTCTTGGGACAATATGGCTGTGAAGYTATATATTTATCCTAGGGAGGAGACAGCATGTCAGCATGAATTTAAAACAAACCCTAAAATAAGTAGTCTCTGAATTAAAAGAAATTGGCTTGAGTGGTTTTCCATACTTAAAAGTATGGAAATAGTCAATGGAGAATTAAATAAATGCCAGTACAAGCTGTAATGTGAGGAACACAAGACTGGAGTTCTAAGAGGCTTGAAAAGTTATACATTGTAGTAACACTCCKTAGTGGGACTGATTCATGCTGCTGTACTGGAAACTCTTTCTTAATAGGCTCTGAAAGTGATAGCTCCCCTGACAGGAGATGTTGAGGATGGATGAGGAGGGGTAGCTGAGACTAAATGGGAAAAGGTGGAATTCGAAGGGCGTTGCAGGAGAGAGGAAATCAARCCATGAGTCAACTGGCTGGAGAGTATCTGGTTAACCAAAGTTGAAGGCTTTTAGGAAGAAATGTTTATTTAAGCTCTTCCTGTGGCTTTGGAGGAAAGATTGTTTTTCAGACTTAAAAAAAATGYTGTGAGTTGGGATACATTTCAACCTCTTGATCCACTGAAGCCTGATGTAGTCTGTCACTCCAGAAGAGTCCAAACCTCACTCTTCCAGGAAGTTGAAGTCCTCTGTAAGAAATGACAAGCCTAAGAGCAAGAGGCTTGCTTTTTTTCCCTCAGTGAAATTTCTGCAGCAATGGAAAGTTCATCCTGCTTCGTTGTGCTACAGTGGTCCTGGCCTGCATTCCTAAGCCTGTCTCTAACGTGAGAACTTGTGCCTGTGTGGTGAGCTGATCCAGCTGAAAGGGTAGCCTTTCTGTGGGTTTACTTTTTGGCTGGGTCAGCTGCCTGGCTGGTTCACTGCAGTGCAACAAGGACTGTTGGTGGTGCCAGGGAATGAAGCAGAAACATCCAACTCAGTTGCTGGTAGGACCTCTTTCTCATTTCAGTGGAATGCTGTACTCCTAGCTGGGATACTTTTCCAGCCTTTTCAGAGACTCTGATTAACAGGGTGATATGAAAGCCAAAGCTGACACTGGATTAATGGTGTGGGAGGAATCAGGACTGCTGCCTTYCTACATGGGGAGCGTGTCCCGCTGCCTTGTTTTACCTCATGAAAGTGCACACTTAGCTGTCTTCTTTCAGAATTTTTTCCAAGGACTAGGTCACAAACTGAACGTAAATCTGTTATGATGAAAGATAGATGGCTTCTTCAAAATGTCACCTTCTTAAAATACATCTATACGTGTGTAACTGTATATATGTATGTATGTATGTGTGTAACCTAATGCACTTGCAGAACAGTAAAGCGCTGAGTGCTTGTGTCCATTTAGRGTCAATTTCCAGGTGGACCTGTTAAAATACATTTTAACTTTTTCATCTCAGACGTCTGAAAAAGCGGGTTTGTTGGAAAAGGAAATAAATTCTTCCACAGCTGAGCCTGTAATTGGTTTTGCTGGGGTGTTTGAGCATGCAAGCTTCTCCCTGCCCAGTGAGACTGATCATGTGCAGAACATAGTGGGAGCTGCTCTCTTATCTGCTGTCATGAAAGGCTTAGGAGCTTCCCTCCTAGATTTTTGAGGAAGGTGGTATGAAATAGATTAACACCTTGATGGGGGGTGAGGGGGTACTGTAAGAAACTCAGCTGGCCAGAGGAGGAAGCTGATCTGTTGCCTTGAGCCTCTGCCCTTCAGTGGGAGCTTCCCTGTGGGTTGCCATATGGATCTGTGCTGCTGGGAGGCCGATACCTGAGAAGGATGGCACTGCTGTGCTGCGAGGGATCGTTTTGGGGTTGTCACATTSAGTTAGCTCAGGCAGCCTTGTGCATGGCTTTGAAGTCAGGCTTCTTGCAGGTCTGAGAATCTGAAATGAAGCTTTGTCAACAAAATGGAGTCRATTGTGCTTTTCTAAAGCTGGAATTTGTATCAAGAGGCTGAATTTCTTCGTACTTGTAGTTACTGTTTCAGCATGGTATKTCAGTGAGTTCCTTAGTACAGCGTATGAACAGATGGCTATTGGGGAAGATGGATTTGACATGTGTCATTGTCCAAACTACTGTTCTGCCTAAAACTGTAGGCAAGAAGTCTGTTCTTGCAGTACAAACCAAAATGATTGTTTGGTTGTATCTGGCAAGAGTTAACATGGCCTATAGCCCTGCCTTCATCAAAGCTTTTTTTAAAATTATCTTTGTGAAGAACTTCAGGTGAACATGTCTGTGTTTTACACTCCTTAGACTGAAACCTTCAAATTGTTGCAGCTACTGCGATTTGTGCTAGTTTAAACCAGTATTACTGSAAATTCACTGCTAAACTTGTTAATCCTAGTATCTTTTACTGCARCTATGTAGGATCTTCCAGTTAATATTTCTAGCATAAGAACATTAGGAAGTTTGTATCCAGTTCTTGGTGCTGGAGAAAGCCAACTGTTATATCCTGGTTGTTTTATTCTGCTTTCAAACAGTGATAAGTAACTGGGAAAGTTCAGTGAAACAAGCCCACCGTATCTTTTTGTGACCTTAACGAACTCAAACAAACCACTTATGACTAGAACACTTTCCATTTGGTGGAAAAGAGCTAACTTGAGACATATCAAAAAGTTTCCTTAAATATTTTATTTTAATCTAGTGTGCTTTTAAAGCCAGAGAGAAGTTTATCAGAGAAGTAGCATCTCAGCTGTTTTTTCTCCTCTAAGTAGGGTTAACTTAGTCTTACATTCCTTAATGGTTAAAGTGTAGATCCTCCATACTGAGATATGAAAGTCTATGTTTGATATTCTTTATTCAATACCTTCCAGGGTCCATTCACCCCTGAAATACTGAATAATTCCTCAGTTGAACAAAAATTTGCTTTTAGGTTTAAATTTTCTCTCCAGATGTTTGCACCTTCATTGGAAAACATGAGATTGGGAAACTTAAATATTGTAATTAATGCCTGGAGTACCTTCCTCCCATTTTTGGGTAGGTGAATGGAACAAAAGAATCCTAGTGACCTTTTCAAATGTGTTCAGTTACCATAAGCAGCCTTTATGTATCTCACGGTGCTGCCATGGTGGGGTGTTGTGCTGCTGTTGGTTCAGCTGGATAAATTCTGTGACTAAACTGGTGTAATCTGACATCATGGCTCAGCATCTGGATTAGGAGGCTCTGCTGTTTCAGAGACATGAGTTAGCATCTTGGAATAACTGTGTGGACATAACTAGGGACATACTGATTTCATTTGAGTATCAGACAGCGGAAACCACACAGCAAGGGCATCAGGACCTTTGTGGCAGCTCTTCAGAACACAAGCTTTGTAACAGTTTTTCTTTCTTCTGGAGCATTGTATGCTTCTAGTCATTTCTTTTTCTTTTGTTCAAAAAAGCAGCACTAGTGGAAACTTGGGAGCCTACAACATTACATGTTCCACAGGAATACTGAGGTAAACATGAGATTATAGAAAGTTTTTTGTAATTTGAGGTTCTGGTTCCTGCTGTTCAACAGAAGACAGAAAATATGAAGAATTACTGAGACCTGCAATTCTACAGAATGGCAAGTCCTGATTTGGGGCCCTCTGTAGTCAGCAGAGATATCCAGAAGCACGGCCAAATTCTGTAATGCTGCTTTGCTGCTTCTGACTCTTGCAGTTGATTTCTTTATAGGTTTGTGTTGTACCATCAGTTGCTGCAGCTGCTGTAGCAAGATCATCACTAGTTTTTCCCTCAGGTGGTGAAATGTAGGCGAAGGGGAGCTCACAGAGGTGTCCACCTAGAGGGAGCTTGCAAAGGGCACCCGGCTTCCAATACAACTTCATCTTTTCCTCAAGACTGAAATGTGCTGCCAGCAGTAGCTAGTGGTGGATATCTGCATGGCTTTCCTTGCTGCAGACATTTGTCTGCCTCACTGGGAGCTCTGTGTGCAGTTTCCTGGAACAGGTCACCTGCACAAGGACTGGAACAGGTCACCTGCACAAGGACTTTTGCTACCCAAGTTCTACTCTTGAGGAATTGGGAGTACCAGTTTCAGCCCTAAGGGTTACAAGATGCATTGCCAAGTCCTTCACTTGTTTTTAACAAACACAAGGTACTGGTGACATTTCTGATGGAATGGGGAGTGCTTCTGGCCATCTTTGGACTCCTGAGAAGCCACAAGTGGGAAGGTACAGCTGCAAACAGATGATTTACTGTATTGGCCAACAGCAGGAAACAAAACAGTTGTTCTCCACCTCAAATTCCATAATCCAGCACAATTCTTGGCTAAACACAGGCCTTGCCTTCTGTCTCCCAAATGTGTGAACTGGCTGACCATCTAATTCACTAGCAATGGAAAAACTATGGCATACCACAAGGAGAGAGCATTATAAAAGCTGTTTTCCTTCACAAGGATTTTTTGCTAAAAAGATTCTATGGTGTCTAACCAGAACAAGAAGCGCTGCTGTTTAGCATGTTTTCTAAAAAGCTGACCTCTCTGAGACAAGTTCCGCACAGGAAATGCCTGCAGAACAGCAGGAGTGAGTTTTCATGGCAGAACTCTGACATCTTAGGGTAATCAAAGTGATCAAGGGGTTTCCATGTGAAGAAGGCTCCCAAAAGTTGCCTTTGCTTCAKATACAGAWCTTGCCTATTGCTGTTCCCCTCATRATWCATCTGCATTTTTGATGMTGGTCAGCCTTCCTAGGCTGTTCTAGCTTATTTGGGCAGAGTGCAGAATCCTCTGATTTTTACCAAAACTTCACCAATGTCCTGGACGATATCGCAGTCGTAGCATTTTGGGCATCCCTCACTGATCTGTGCTGTTCATACTTGGGCAAGTGAAGATAAATCCCGATGCTGACATGAGTATTTTGTAGACAACCTTGTGCTGTTGTTACTTGCCCTACCATAACTGGTTCCTGCAGCTGAAASATCACAGCATCCACAGGGAACTGCTGCCACTCCTGCTATGATGGAGTTCTTGAAAGGTRGACTTTGGTTTTAGTGGGAGTTAATGAGGGAAGTTGGGATTACTCTCACCTCTAAGGTATAATAAGGCAGGCATGTACATAGGTCGTGGTCCTAAATGGTTACTGCTGTGCAAAAAGCAAAAATAAGTAAATAAAGACTTTAATGCTTTCACAGATGTGATTGTTAAAATTAAAGTATGAATGGGTAGTTTCCCTAACACTTCTCAAGGCGATGCCTCTTTCTCTTTCCAAGAGAAGGAAGGTGTTTTCTTGTACTTGATGGGAATCCAGGTCTGTTTTGGAAGGAATGCATACTTTACCCTGCAACAGGGGCAGGTTCTGTATTTGAATGGCCAAGGAGAGATGATAGAGACACCATATTCTTACACCTGGCCTTTCCCAGCTAGGTCTGAAGCATACTAGCTTTTATGAAGCCTTAATCCATGGCCAGTTGGGACTTCATGTCTTCATGTGGTTTGCCAAATGTTGTAATGAGATTTTATTTTTTTGTTAAGTTCACCTGCCAGAAACTTTGTGAAGAGGGCAGGTCAGGTCAGCCTCCAGTGGGACTGGGATATACAGTCTGTCTATGAGCCTGAAGACATTCCCTGTTAAAACTGTRGTGAAGGTGACTCCAGGAATTTGTGAAGGAGGAAGAGCTGAAAGACCTGTTCCTCTTCTTGAGCCCTGGGCTGTAGGCTGGCTGTCAATAGGATTCCTGTTTTTCCCTGACAGTTTGCAGGAGAATTCTTTGGAGTAAAGATAGAAATGTTGACTTGTTTGATTTTGTCAGGGTTGTCTTCAACTTGTCTCCAGAGAGCAATCAACTGGCTAAGTTAGTCTTCCTTTTCACTTTTAGAAAAGGATCTTCCTATATGACCTGCAAGAATAAGTCTAATTCAGACTAGTTGTCTTAAAATTAACTATCTGGAATGAAAATGTCCAAGTGACGCTGTATTTAAGTTTTTATGTTTTAGCATTCCAATTGTTGGCATAAACTAGATGCTGTTGAACTGAGAATTCAAAAGTACTAACAACTGTCGAGTGAAAGATGACAAAGACAATCTAACTTTCTGGATTATAGGGTCACATTGGATAATTCACGGATGGTTGAATGGGGTGGTTCTTGATTGGTACATCCTCGTGTAGAATTGAACTGAGGACATCTTCCAGAAGGCTCTGAATATACAGCAAAGCCTTTGAATTGCTTTACTGCTCACTTAATTAAGCCTGCACTTCTGAAGAAAAAGAAAAGTGTTTCCTAATGTTCAGAGGGAAGCTGTGTTTCAGTTTGTGCCTGTTGCCTCTGGTYCTGTCAAAGGGCACCCCTGGAAAGAGCCTGGCTCTGCCCTCTCAGTGCCCTCCCTGTGAGTATTTGTATACATTGGTAAGAACCACCCTCTTTTTTTGGGCTGAATRCCTTCACATGCCATCATTTTGTTCTAGAATTTTGTGCCTAGTAAGTTAGTATCTTTGAGATTCACAACCTCATCTGCTGGTTCACTGTATGACAAAGGTGTTGAAAAAAATTTCAGCCATTGCTATTGAATCTTTTCCATTGGGAACTGTGATCATTCAGATTTGCTTGTTCTTTGTGTGATTTTATGCCCCCTTTCTGTAATAATTTGTGAAACTGAGAGCAATTTAAAGATTTTTTTTTCCTTTCCTCAATGGATTTTTCAAGGAAACTATTGGCAGAAAACTGCTACAGAATGTTTTTAAAATACTAGCTTTGCAAGGTTTTATTAGAAATAATTCGGTCTCTACTCAAGGTGTGAATAACTCTATGACTGCTTTTCACTAATAACCATTTGTTCTTTGTTTTTTCYTTTAAAATTGATTAACTTCATACTCTTTCAGGGGGTATTTCTGTGCAGGCTTAGTTGGTTTGGTTGAGCCTCAAGTGTGCTTGTCTTTTTTTGTCCCCAGCTGAGCATTGAGCAGGCCCAGGCTGTGGCAGAGCAAGTTGAGATGAAAGCGAAGGTGGTACAGTCTGAAGTCAAAGTTGTGACCACCAGACACAAGAAGGCCTTGGAAGAGCGGGAGTGTGAGCTGCTCTGGAAGGTATGCACCCTTGCATTTGTGGCTTGTACTGCTGGCAGTGCTTTTCAAACTGAAAAAAAAAATTACTTAAACTACTACATGGCCAGATTCTGATCTCYGAGGAAAACTGCAGGTTTCCCTAGCTGGAGCTGCTGCTGGGGTTTTTGTAGGGGCTGCTGCATCATCCTCAGAGCAGCACAGCCCCACATGCGGGTTGGGCGCTCCCCCTGCTGGCCCAGCAGCTGCCCCGAGAGGAGATYCCCTCCAGGCAATGTCTCCAAAGCACCTTTAATGTGTTACTCTAGAATTAGGTACATAGT